TCACTGGGCATTCATTTTTCACTAACTCAGACAAGGTCTTCATTTCTATGAAGACCCATGTTGACCCCTAAATATCCGATTTTTTTTCCCCAGTTAATGTTGGTGCCCATCTGGTTTGAATTTAGCATTCTTATGAGTCATTTCACTGTGATAGGAACACTCCGCTATAGAAAACTTCTGCTAATATTTTAACATTTTAAATCAAACACTGCATAGAGCATTACCTAAGTCTCCTTGCAATTATGGGAACGCAGGCACTCTATTTGTTCATGCTTCATTCCTCAAGATTTGTTTTTGTCTCAGTTGAACACTGTACATGGTAAATAAATGCATACCCAATCTGCGTGTTCAAACACTTCCCCTTCTTGGGCTGACAGATCCTCTGTAGCTCAAAACTCTTTCAAGACAGTATTTGCTTGAAGAAGGATGAATAGTTCAATAGGAAGTTGGATGGTCTTTCCTTCTCATAGCTGACACTTAACCCATTTAGAAGAACTCGATTTATTTTTTGATCAACATTGACTTTACAACTTACATTTTACTACCCAAATTTCCTGATTTGGAAGCTTGAACTCATTTTCCTTTTACTGCTGGGCAACTTTTCTCAAGGTAGTCTTTAAGGCAAAACGAAGGAGGAAAAAAATGCCAGGAATCTCTTTAAGAAAATACAGCAGTGTCTCCTCTGCCTTCTTAAGCAAATGGATGGTTCCCAGGGAGGCTAGACGTGGTTGTGTACTTAGCCAGAAAATTGAATCCGCACATGGGGTGGACATAATTTAAGTTTAAAAAAAATAAAAGGAGGGTTTTGAAGTATTATTTGTCTATATTAAAAGTGAAGGAAGCATACCTTAACAAGCCCAGCCATTTTGTCTTTTCTTTACTGAATGTGAAATATTTCATCTTAATTTTTGGAGGAAAAAAAAATATCAGTGGTTTAAATCAAGTGCTTCCGTAAGGAGCAGGCCATTTGTAAGGGACGTATGAGTTCCACACTTCAACAAAGACACAAATGAGCTCCCGCTCGGAATGAATAATAGGGTTTTGCTCCCCTATTCCCCCATTAAAGTTTCTTGAGTTTATTTCCTAATCTGCAGGAACAAAACTTAACAAAACATAGCCTCTTACCTGGGCTCTGGGCACCAATTCTTTAAGACAACTTTATATTCTAATTCTCATTACATTTTAGTTCACTGAGGGCGCTGGGAGAGGTTTAAATCAAAATAGGAAAAATAATAACCGTTGACTCACAGAGGTGGGGCTCAGTTTCTTAGTCTTTGTTCAGGCAAAACATGTGTTGGAGGCTATGAAAGCTTTGCAAGATCCAAATGTAGCGATTTGAGCAGCCGCATGCCGTAACTGCAGATCCCGGCTCCGGGCATGACGGATACGTTCATACTTCCCCTTAGCCATATTGTTGTGACTGAATAAAAAATGTCGTCTTTTTCACACAATTTAATTAGAAGCACCAGATGTGGTGTTGTATGACTGATGTCAAAATATGACACTTTTATGTAAACACTTTAACTTAATCAATCAAGTAAATAGCTTTCACTATTTTAAAGCGTTTCAAGTCTGCTTGGTACAAATACGTTATTTTTTTTGTGTTATGCTAAATAGATCATGGCCAGCTGCAGCATTATTAAGAGATTAAGGGAATAAAGTTAGATCTTACTATATTATTTTTCAAGGGCTGACCTTTACAATTTCCTCCTCTGGGAAAGACCAAAAGAAGACAGGGTTACAAAATCCTTTAATTTTGTGGTGCCCAAGAAAGTTCTTCTTGGGAGATCCTATCAAGCATTGCTATTAAAATGCATCTTTATGTTCTCTAGTGTTATTTGGGAACGTTGCATTACTGTTGCTCCCCATCCAGTAAAGAGCGAGAAGTGAGACACCCTCATCCAATGTATTAAGTGTTCTAGAAGTGTGATACTCCTGGGAGCATGGTCGAGACGCAGCGTTCAAAAGCTAAGCCAGCCATTTGTTTCCAAGCACTTCTCCTTATCCTAAGTTGTTTGAATTCCTGGTCAGTTCAAATTGCCCTGTATCACTGGGGTCCATTACATGGTAGGAGTGAGCATGTGCTGCCTCCCTGAGATGTCCCGTCTTGAGGAACGAAACTTGGGGAAAGCAGCTGAACACCGAGCTGCTGTCAGGAGCTCCAGGCTTTGACTGGAACTTGAACCACAATAACATGTGCTGGGAGTCCTGTGAATCCCTGTTTCATGTTCACAGTGAGGGTGGCTGAGCTCACATTCAGTGGGACATGCTTCAGTTTCAGAAGATGTTCAAACCACATGGACTTGGAGGCTTTTCCCAGGCAATAGTGGTTTAGAAGGATGATTTGAATGTGTTTCTAATCAACCTGTTTCTTCCTTGGCCCTGCTTTTGCTGCTGTTTGTTTTTCTCCCTTGCACAGGGCTTTGTGACAAAAAGAGTTATTTTGGGAAGAAAGTGGTTTGGAGAAGCATTATGTAAATGTAGGCATGGATGGACAACAGGCCAGAGTTCTGTAACACTGATCTGGATGTTGACCTTGATGTTGTGTTTAGAATAGTTCTTACACGTTGTACCATTCACACTGTGACTAATAAACAAACCAGTGTTGCCTGCAGTAGGCCACTGTGCAATTCACTTTTGTGGAAATGAATGATGATATGGGGTAGGTAGGCAGGAAGATGAGGTAGGAGTAAATGAGCTGAAATTTTGGTCTGCCCTGCATTGGAACTGCACTCCCTTACTGGTCAATCTGGCATGTTCACTTTCCCACGATGAGTCTGTGTCTGATCTAATATAAGGAAAGAGAAAAGGTGTCACAATAGTCATGTGGAGGCTAAACTCCAGGAGGATGTGATATGAGACTCCTCATTAACCTGATGTTCACTAAATGACCCTCTCTCCCATTTGTATGTTTAATTTTGACACTACCTGTTATTGAGTTAAACAGACCAACAATATGAAAGGACCCTTCTTTGTGGGCTTCTGGATGGTGCTACAGGCCCTTCTGTGGCCTTCTACACTCTCTTCACAGGCAACTCTGACCCACTCATGATGAGAATCTCTCTGTGTGGGATGGTTTCATCCACAAGGGAACCAATGCTCATTCTCTCATTTAAATAAATTCATTCTTCACTGGTGCCTCTACTTTGAATTCTTATCTCTCTGGAGCCAAGAGCCTGGCATAAAGATGAACATATCTATGACCCTAACAAGGGGAGAACAAAATGAAAATGACATTTCCCAGGAGATTCTTTTTTTAAATGAGAGAAAATCTGAAAAAGAGAGAACTAAAACTGTAGCAGGTGCGTGCTTGTCCTTGCAGATTATCTTCATTTATTTTGTTGACGCTAGGCCACCACTTGGGACACCCACATCTCACATCAGAGTTCCAGGTTCAAGTGCCAGCTACTTTGTTTCTATTCCAGCCTTCTGAGAATGAGGACCTGGGGAGGCAGAAGATTGCTTGGGTTTCTGCCAGTCGTGTGGGAGACTCAGATGGAGTATAACTGGGCTCTTGGATTTAGCCAGATATGATCCCAGCTGTTATGGCATTTGGGGAATGAAACAGTGGAAGGTAGATCCCTTTCTTTGTCTCTCTGCTGTTCTCTCTGCTTTTCAAATAAAAATAACTAAATCTTTAAAAAAAAAACTTTGAAAGTCAGAATTACAAAGAGAAGGTTCTTCTGACTACTGGTTCACTCCCCAAGTGAATGCAACTGCCAGAGCTCAGCCGATCCAAAGTCAGAATCCAGGAGCCTCTTTCAGGTTCTCCTATGTGGGTACAGGGCCTCAAGGCCTTGGGCCATTCTCCACTGCTTTCCCAGGCCATAAGCAAGGAGCTGGATGGGAAGTGGAGGAGGCAGGACACAAACCAGCACCCATAAGGGATCTGGAGTGTGCAAGGCAAGGACTTTAGCCACTAGGTTAACCCGCCAGGCCCAAAAGCTATTAAATGTTTAAAAACATGTTTATTTGAGACAATAGGAAAGTTTTAACAGCCAATAATGAGCTAAGGGTAGTGTAAACAACTTACAGTTGTTTATTTCAGAATGAACTTCTAAAACCACTTACCAATTGTGAGTGACTCCGGGTAAGACTGAACCTTTAAGAGAGAGTTGAGACTACTGAAGAAGCCTGTGGGTACTGGAGATCCAGTTGCTGCACTGCAAACCCACTGGGTCTGTCTTAGTACAATCTCTAGGGACACAAAATTAGGAAAGCACCTAGTGATCTGTGATTCAGTTTTATGACCGTTGCTTTAAATACATCGTAATTCCTGACTCTATGCTGTGTTAGCCTTACTTTCAGTGTACCCGTCAGCATGAGAAGCCTTTGGTTGGACTTGTCTTAGAGTCCTGGGACAAAGCAGGCTTGCTTCCTAAGCGCTGCCCTCCATTCTTTCCCACCCTCCTAGTTTCCTGTACCTTATCAAGGCTTATTTACTTCACTGACCCTACTTAGGTTACAGGCATTACCTGGAGAAAACAGTAAGTAAGAAACAAGTGAACTCACCAAGAAGAGGTGTGGGCTTTGTTCTCTAACTGGATTGGTTTTCTAGACCACACACCTTGAAAGCAATCAAATGCTTTTCATGCCACTTAAGCTGGCGGATGGGTTGTTGTGTCCGTGAAAAAGCCATGGAGTCAGGTTGGCATGCAGATCATTTTGCTGCATGAATCCCAAAGTAAAAAGAATCCAGGAGGGCTATGCTTCCCCCTGCCTTCCCCCTTCTCTCCGTTTTCCTCCTCTTACTTTTTCTCTTATTAAGGCATCTCTGTTTACATTGGCAGATGGGAAGTCTAAGTTAAAGGTGGGTGGAGGCATTCAAGGAAGGAAGTGTGTGGGGGAAGAAATGGAAATGTGGTGGGTCCAACAGCCACCCTGTTTCGCTTTGCTGGAATAGCTGAAGAATCCTCAGATGAGTGTTTTGAAGAGATTCTTTTTAAATGCCGGCGAGTGTAACACTTTCTCTTTATGCCCTCTCTTGCTGGATTTTGTAGGGCAGCAGATGGGGAGGCAGAACTCGAGAGAGATTGCAAAATCTTCATGATGGACTCACAAATACTTTGGAACTTGTTCCTAGAGCAAATACTGCCACGGAATTTCCTACATCATGGCCCAACATGTGAGTGGTGAGGATTTAAAAGCTTCTGGGGACTGTTTTGCAGTATCCTATTTTCTAGTGCTCAGCTTAATATGGACATTTCTAGAACATACCACTCTGCCTACCAGTGACAATTATTTAGCATTCTTATAGTTTTATATTTGCTTATTTATTTGCTAATTTTATATATTATTACACATTAATTATTTGATATTCAAAACTAATACCCCATTATATCCAGCATCTTCCTACCTCGGGGTCTTTGTATATTTTTGGCAAGGAACATTTTCACTTCTCATTCCACAGCCCACTTACCAAACTTCCATTCATTTTCCATTCAAAGTCTCAGCTTAAACACAGTGTTAATGAAGCCTTCCCTGGCTCACCCAGGCTGGATGGATACAACTCTTAACACATAATGTGTCTCTCTTTGAAAACATATATCTCATTTATAATTTATTAGCTCTTGGGCAATTATATGCTTACTACTAGGCTTCCCTGCCGGATTGTAAAATTCTAAAAGTAGGACAGCATCCAATTCATTAGCATATCCTTCAGGCCTGATGTGCAATGGATTTCCTATGGATATTTGTAGGAGGAATGAATGAGTTCCTTTACTATTAATAACTGTTACTGCAAGGCAGTTGCTACATGTATGGAAGACCAATCACCTGCTAGCTTTAAACAAAACAACAGTAATGGCAATGGTGCTTCACAACAGCCCAAAGCTAGTGTAAACACATTCATGACAAATTCAGAAACAACAGACAGAAAATGAGGAGGAGGAGGATGGTGTGTGATGACCACTTTTTTTTTTTTCTCTGCAATATGCAGTGGATGTTTCTCCATTATGTTGAACTGTGCTGGTAATTTTCAAAGATCTTCACTTATAGTGCACTTCCTCTAGTAACACATAACTACCTGTTAAGTCTGTATGTTAAGAGACCAAGTTCTGGCTTTGAAATACATTCAGTTACTTCATCATTCATCCAAATGCATGTTGAATGGTGATTGTGCAAAGTCATAAATGCCAAGGGATGACATGGGCTAAAACACTTGACCACTGCAAGCCTCAGTTTCCTTAAGTATAAAATGGGATTCTTTTTTTTCATTTTTAAATTATATTTTTGAAAATCTTTACATAGTTAATTAGTGCACAAAGGTTCAAGGGCTACAGGAAAGTGGGTAAGGCTATGATTTCCACACATTTTTTTTTCTATATCTGGAGTAAAGGGGGAGGTAAAGGGAGAAGCCCCACCCAGTCTCCCACCCATCCTGGGTCCCTGATGTGGGACATTAAAATGGGATTCTTAAGATTCAATGAGATGGTCCTTGCACAGCTTTTAGGACACGGTCTGTCATAAAATGACCTTTCAATAACATTAGGGACTATCATCTTTATGTGTCAGGAACTAGGTTAGGGTTTAACCCTAACCACCCACAGATACGAGAGAGGTGATCCTGGTTTTCCAGGAATTCATAACTTGAGAGAATGATTGGCGCCACAGGGCTTGAGAGCAACTTTCCCTTTCTACACACAGCCAAGTTGATAGCATGACCATCAGCAGTTTCTCACCGTGCTGTATTTGATGACTCCCAGCTTCAAAGCTGTTTTGGCAGAGCTACAGCGTGTTCCCGTGGCATCACTTCCTGCAGTGTTTTGCTTCCTGACTCTTTGAGCAAGTGTTGCATAGAATGCTGTCTTTCAGAACCTGTGGCACTGGGATGGTAGCACAGAAGGCATAATGGACATTTACCGTGGTGCTCATGTTCTATTGCACTTGGGTGCTGCTGGATATGGGGCCGAGGGTTCAGAGAGAAATTGTTCACAACCTGTGAAGCATGTGAATCCTATGATGTTTAAAAATTCTTGGCAGAGAGAGAAGTGTTGAGTGAAAGGTAATAATGCGCTGTTACCTTCCCCTTTTGACTGTTGCAATAGCTGTTGGAAAGGCCTTCGAGAAATCGGTTGAATTGGACTCTTGTTGTTCTGCTTTCTATTTATTAAGAGAGCCTCCTTATTCTTCTGCACCGTCTCCCACGAGTAGTCTGTGATTAAAAAATATTTTGGACACAGACATGTCCTGTTCCCAAAAGATTTACTTCTTAACACATTGGGTTCTCAGCAAAATTGAGAACAAGTCTTGGCTATTGCTAGTATGGGTAAAAATGTCTCACCAATGTCTGCTTTTTAAAATTAATTAATTACTTTTTTTATGCAATCACAGCCTTCTGGGAGGTTGGTTTTTGTTTATGGTAAATTTTGAATGATATCCTAGAACTTCTCATTCAAATTTCCTGGAGACTTTCACTAAGATGGGAAACTCCAAAACTACATAGCTCAGATCATGCATATAATTTGTAATTCAAAGATGATTTTCTCTGTACACTTTGGCAATTGTTCTTTGCTTTTGATTTTTCTCATTTGTATCTTCGTGGTGACTGTACTTGTGAATGTAGTTAATATTTATAGACACCTTACTATGTATCAGACATTGCTTTAAGAGTTTTACATGAATCAACTTCATTGATACTTTACAACAACTTTATGATTGAGTGGCACAATTATTCTCATCAATGGGCGAAGAAATGGTGGCAGAAAAAGCTTCAATCAGTCAACCATGGTCACAAACTACGAAGCAGGGGATCTGGGATTTGAACACAATCTGGTTCCAGAATTGTGCCAGCCCTTAACCTGTTATCTGTGTTAACATTCACATCTAAGACTGTAGAAGACCAGAAAGGATATCCCTCCAGCCCAAGGACTGAGCCAGTGATAGGCAGCCTGAAGTCCTGGGTCTCAGTGTTGAAGTGAATTTTGCTACCCAAGATCAATCCTTAAATAATTGCAATGTACGTGAATGAAATTGACATCTTGAGATCTGATTATTGCCATAACCCTTGTCTACAATCTTGCATAACAGTGGTTTTTCTACCTTCTCTTTCCTAAATTCTTATTGGAAGATTAAGCCTGTGACTACAAAGCAAATTGTAACTATGCTAGCACAAAATTGATAGGAGAAAAAAAAAAGAAAGGAAGGAAGTAGGAATGTAAGAAGTATTATTATGTACTTAAAAGTTGTATATATGAGGGCCCGGTACAATGGTTCAATAGCGTAATCCTCACCTTGCAGACACTTGGATCCCATATGGGCGCTGTGTCCCAGCTGCTCCACTTGCCATCCAGCTGGCCTGGGAGAGTAGCACTCATGTGGGAGACCTGGAGGAGGCTCCTGGCTGCTGGCTCCTGGTTTAGGATCAGTGGCCACTATGGACATTTGAGGAGTAAGAAGGTGGTTGGAAGATCTTTCTATTTCCTCCTCTCATCGTAGGTTTGACCTACCTTTCCAATAAAAATAAATGTTTTAAAAAAGAGTGTATATATGAGATACATTAAATAAAGAATTACAAAAAAGATCAATCACCTTTATGTACAAAGTCGTGAAAAGAAAGAAGTGTTGAGAAAGCTTTGTTCTCAGGGATGCCCACATGTAAGATATTTATCCTTGGATGGATTTAAAGCATTTAATATGCTTTGGGCTCATAAATCCGGATCTGGTAAATTAAAACAGACTGTCAAGTGTCTCCCTGTTCTAGTTGCAGAATTTTAAGTGTTGCATTCTTAAACAGTGTTTTCAGTGTAAAGATCACCTGTAAATGGAAACACAGACGTTTTCTCATGAGTTTGCTCAAACTAAGCCTCCAGTGGACAGTGCTATCCTTGATCTTTCTCTGTTTGTTTGCTTCATGGATGTTTGTTTACTTGAAGTCAATTTCCTAAACCTCTATCAGGCCCAGTGGGATGGTAAGTTAGACACAGACTGAGGTCACCAGCTTCAACATCTGGTTTTAGGAACTCCAGTACTTGTCACCTGTAGCTGGAAGCTGCTAAGCTCTATCCCTAGAAGGAGCACATACTTTGAACAGTGAAGGTGAAGATTTATCAGGCCCTCTTACGCCTCCCTACGTAGAGCTCTGGGGACACAGCAAGGTGGTCTCAGCTCTTAAAGGCAGTGGACCAGCAACACCCAAGCGTGATAAATATGGGGCCCTTCTTCCAGCCTTCTCTGTGGTCTTAGAAGGCAGCTACAAATTTAAAAATCTGTCATTATCAGGACTACGATGTTGCTAGGTAATGAGACAGTTTTGCAAGTCCCACATTGTAAATCTGATGTTTGCTTATGTAAAAGGTCATATTAAACAAGATTGAGTTCAATAATTGTGCGGTTTCTTGAATTCTATTTATCTTAATACCAGAGACTTACAAACCAAGAATATTCATAAGATATATAATTATAAAATAACGAAAGCATAAAAATTCATCGAATGCTATTTTAAGAAATTGCTCATCACAAGGAAAGCAGTTTTAGGGAAATTCTTGAAATATATGTGTTTATATATGTGTGCAAATACATAAGTCTAAATAATTCTAATAATTATTAGAGTCTAAAATAATTCTGAATAATCACATTTACTGATATATTTGTTTTTAAAAAATATTTTACTAATTATTATTATTATTATCATTTTATGATACAGTTCCATAAGCCCCTGGGATTTCCCTTATCTCTTCTGCAACCCTCTTCCCCCCACCAAATTCCCTTATATCATTACTAAAGTTTAGTTATTAATACACAATCATATGTCCATTATTGTGGGCATGGACATTGGCAGAGAGTCCAGTATCCTATTGTCAAGATACAGTAAACAGTTTCATTGGGAGTTCATCTTTAGTCTGGAAGTAGAGATGCATACTGCATTGTATCCTCACATCTGGATATGATAGTCTCCATTTCACAGTTACTGTACATCCTCTTAAATGAAAAGCCACAATACAAAATCAACTATAGGAAGGAAAATAGAAATTTACAATGCCGTGAAGTTAAATAACATGTTACTAGATATGACAGTCTCCATTACACAGCTACTTTATATCCCCTTAAATGAAAAAGCCACAAAACAAAATCAACAACATGAAGAAAAAAGAAATTAAAAACACCATGATGTTAAAGAACATGCTAGTGAATGACTAATGTGTTGCTGAAGAAATGAAAAAGAAAATCAAGAATCTTCTTGAAGAAAATGATGCTACTGTATGATCATTGAATAATTTGATCAGAGAAAGTGTTTTGAAGAGATAAAATTAACCAAAAAAAAAAAAAATCCGTGAGATACAGCTTCTGCTGATCCTTGTTTGTGAAATATGTCTCCTGTAGGTAACAGATAGATGGGTTTTGTTTTTTAATTCAGTCTACTAATCTATGATGTTTGCTTAATGAGTTTAAGCCATTTACATTCAGGGTTAATGTGAATAGGTGGTAAGTTGGTCCTATCATTTTAGCAATGGGTTGTTCATTGGTTTACTCTTCTGTTGTCATTTTACTGGGATGTTCTTCCCATTTGCCTTTGGTTTCGTTGGGTGCTATTCCTCTTCTCTGTCAAGAGAACATCTTGAAGTATCCTTTGTAGGGCAGGTTTGGAAGAGGCAAATTCTTTTAATTTTTTTTTTTTTTTTTTTTTTTTTTTACTGTGGAAGAATTTTACTTCATTTTCAAAGACAAAAGAAAGCTTTGCTGGATATGTTATCCTGGGCCAACAATTTTTCTCTTTTAGAATCTGGAATATGTTGCTCCATTCTCTTCTTGCCTGCAGAGTTTCCTGTGAGGGGTCTCATTTGAGTTTAATTGGCATTCCTTTATATGTCTATCAATTTTTTTCACTTGCACAATTAAGAATCTTTTCCTTATGTTCGATTGAAGAGAGCTTGATTGTCATGTGTCATGGTAGACTGCTTTTGGTCAACCCTGTTGGGAGTTCTGTGCCCGACCTGGATGTTGTTTCCCAATTCTTTGTCTAGATTAGGGAAATTCTCCCTTGTTATTTCATTAAATACACCTTTAATCCCAGCTTCTCTTTCTGTACCTTCTGGGACTCCCATAATTCTTACATTTGGCCTTTTAATAGTGTCTTTCAATTCTTGAATACTTTTTTGGCCCGATCCAGCTCTGTTTCCAGATTTTTGATTGCTTCTCCCTGGTAACAGGAAATATCTTCTAATTTTGAAATTCTTTCTTCTGCCTCCTTCATTCTATTTTGGAGACTCTCTACTGTACTTTTAATTTCCTCCATTGTATTCTTTGTTTCTGATATATCAGCTTTCATTTGGTTCATTTCCTGTGTGACATGTTCCTTAAATTTCTTGAATGCCTGCTTTACATACTTCTCATTGTTGATAAGCTTTATAACAAGTGTTTTGAATTCTGTATCCCCCATTTTCTTAATGAATTCCTCAGTGAACTCTGAGGTTGGCATAAGGTTTTTCCCCTTTGCAGGGGAGTCTTCAGTAACATTCATTGTGCCTTTGTCTCTACTTTTGCTCTTGGTCATTGTACTTCTGGTTATCAGATTCTTCTCCTTAGGGCAGGTTTCTAAGCTCTGTTAGCCACAGGTCTACAGTTCGTTTTTACTTATTGCAGTTGGTACATGGCTACTAGTATATTTCTAATTATAAGTTATTTATGCTCATTTTGGAAAATGTGGAGGAAAAAGAAGAAAATAAAGCCATCTTCAGTCTCATTAATGTTTGAAATTTTGACATCCACAAAAAAGGCAATTGAGTATTTTTTGACAGTCCTTTAGCAAGCAAATATATTGGAGAACTTAATATGCATTTGAATTTCAAATACAAATAAGAATATTTGATAACAGCACCAGTTACAATGGCTCTATGCCATATTTTAAAAAAAATTATAAAAAGAATTTGTTTTGTTTATTTGAAAGAGTAACAGAAACAAAGGAAAGACAGAGAGAGACATCTCCCATCTGCTGGTTCACTCCCCATATGGGTGAAAGTGCTAGGGCTGGGCCAAACTAAAACCAGGAGGTTGGAATTCTACCTGAGGTGTCCACATGGGTTGTAGGGAGCCAAGTACTCATGACAGCTTCTGCTTCTTTTCCTAGGATATCAACAGGAAGCTGGATCAGAAGTGGAGCAGATACAGCTTGAACCAGAGTTTATATGGGACAACAGCCTAAATTTTCTTTATTACTTGAAAGGTAACACACACACACACACACACACACACACACAGAAAGAGAGAGAGAGAGAGAGAAAGAGGGAGGGAGAGAGAGTTTTCTCATCTTTTGGTTTACTTTCCAAGTGGTCTGAATAGCAGGAGCTAGGACAAAACCAGAAGCTGGGAACTAAATGAAATCTCCCACGTGTATTGCAGGGCAGTACTTCAGCCATCACCTGTTGCCTCTCAGGTCCCCACTGGCAGAAACAGACAAGGGAGCCTGTTTTTAAACCCAGGCACTCCAATAAAAGACTGAGGCATCTCAAATGATATCAGCTGCTGTCCAAAATGCTCACCAATGAACATATTTTATACTAGTATATCTCTTCTATTTAAGGTTATAAATTTCTTCTTATTTTCCTTTTAAAGGTCACTTTCTTAAATTATAACGATATACTCTAATTGTGGAAAATTTAGAGAGTAGAAAAATGATCCCAGTTAATCATTCCTGCTTTTCCTTCTCTTTTTTCTTTTTTCAGGTGCTATCTTAGAAAAGGATAGACTCATGTCCTCTCAGAAAGACAAGCAATTGTTTATTGGATCAAATGCAGAAAACACAATTTATAATAATATCACTTAAGAATATCCTCTATTATCATGAAAGATCTTTAATTGAACATAGTATCTTATAAGCCAGCGTACAGGAAAGCTAGCACGCCATGAATGAGGTGATGATGATAATGCCAGCAGAAAGGGAGATAAAATAAGAAAATATAAGGCCAGGAAACTATGCAATCATCAAAGCATTATACTTCAGGAACAAATCTCTATCTATCATTGGATATGTGCAAATGAAAATTTTATCAAAAAAATTGTCACGCTAGAGTTAATGTCTGGTCCATTGATGAAGATGCTGGTTTAGGTGTCCAGTTTCCCCATGCCGGAGTGTCTGGGTTCTGCTTTCAGCTCTGGTCCTCCACTCTTTGCTCAGGTTCCTGACTTCAGCTTCCTGTCAAGGTAGACCCTGCGAGGCTGCCACATAGTCCGGCCACACAGAAGGGAGATGCAGCTTGCTGTTCCAGGTCAGGATTCTTGCCCTAGCCCAGCCCTAACTATGAGGGGCAAGTGAACCCACAGGTGTTAGCATGTTCACTCTTTCTCTGCCTTTCAAATAAATAAAGCTGGAGTGAGAGAAGGCATACAGCATAGTGGAATCTTTCAGTGTGTCCATGCCTTACAAACCAATCAATCAAATTTAAGATCTTGGGCTGTAGATCTAATGTAACTATTTTTAGAGGAAAAAAGGACCTGAAAATACCAAAAAAAATAGAGAATGTCAGATGCCAAGAAACATGCTCAAGAAGGAGAAAAATATAATGAGAAAAATATTACATTTATACATTCATAGGGATCTTATTTTTGCTTTCATGAATTTTAAAGTTGCATTGATTTTGACTGCACCAATTTCATTAGCATCTCATTTCTGCTTTGGGTTTTTAATGGCGTACAAATGAACTATGTGAAATGAAGGCCAGCAACCCATGTGTGTTTGAGAATTTTCTTTTTAATTCCTTGGAAAATTCCTTTAATGTTTGGAAAGTGTCAGCTGTGGATAGCAGCGAATTAGAATAGGAAATCCAATCAGTGGATGTTCTTCTTCAACAGATGCTCTTCATAAGCACTAAGGTCCTGTGATTCAGAGCATGGTTCAGAAAGGGTGGCCCGGAGAGCACCTGTGTCAGGGTACCCTGGGTGGTGATTCCAAGCTGACTCTATAGGAGGGTATGTGGATTCCTGGGCCCAATCCCACACTACCTGAAAGGATATTTAGCTATAGGGCTCCAGGATTTGGGTAATTTTTATGTGCATCAAAGTTGGGAAACATTATGTAGAATACATGTTCAGAGGTATTTGTTCAAAATCCCCAGATTATGTAAATCCAGAAAATAGCAAGGATGGAGTACATGGTTCTTTCTCATCCGTTAGTCTGAAATTTGGTTTGAACAGGCTAGGAGGCAGATAAAATCCATTTGAGAATGGTGAATGGTATTAAAGAGAGGAGAAAACCAGGAAAAGGAATAATAATAAATGCCATTTAAAAATTGTTTTCTGTTCAGTACTTCCTTAGATAACCATAAGGCATCTTATGTAATCTTCTCAAATGAAACTAACTCATTTTTATTTTATGCTGCAACTGCTGAGGCACAGAGAGATTAAATATCTAAAATTGGGTCTCCCTGCTACTAGTTGTAATGATGCTGCACCTGTTTAATTCTAGAACCTGGGACCTGGCATCTAGTTTACCGTGCATTCAGAAATTTCTTTCTTTAAAAAAAGCATTTCATTTATTTTATTTGAAAGTCAGAATTACAGAGGGAGAGAGATTCAGATCTTTCATATGCTGGATCACTTCCTATATGGGTGTTATAGCCAGAACTAGGTCAGTCCCAGGCTAGGAGCCAAGAGCCAGGAGCCATCAGCTTCTTTCTGGTCTTCCACATGGATGCAGAGGCCCAAGACCTTGGAACACCCTCTACTGCTTTCCCAGGGAGTTAGGTTTGAAGTGAAACAACTAGGACTAGAACCGATGTCCATATGAGTTGCCAGTGCCACAGGTAGAGAATTAGCTTGCTATATACCATCATGCCAACCAATAACAACTTTTATAAACCACAGCTTTCTTTTTCTCTTCTTTTCTTGGATCCAGCTTGAGCAGTTGACATCACACATGCGTGTTGAACCCCATGCTGTAAGAACTCAGAGATGTGAGAACCACAAGCTATAAGAACTCAGAGCTCTCTGCTGTCATTTGCTATTGCTTTTCACATTCATAGCTTAGTTATTCTTTCAAATCACAATATAGGCAAGGCCTAAATGTCTGTTGTGTGTTAAGATACAAGGAAAGTTCCAAAAGTTCATGGAAAGTAGAGTTAAAAAATATGTCAATTTTGGTGAAAAACATGCTTGAAATCCATGCATAATGTTTTCATGATATGCATATTCCATGAACTTCTAACTTGAGAAAGCTCAGGACATAACCTAGGGCTCCTCTTAGCATGGCAGAAATTCAGTTGTTTGAGCTATTGCAATTGACACTTCCCATGGTCCATGTTAGATGGAATCAAAAGTTGAAGACAGGAATCGAAGCCAGGTACTCCAATGTGAGTGATTTGCCTGCTAGGCTAAAATGGCCACTGTTCGAAGACTCCCTCATATACTTCCAAGTTAAATATACATATATGTGTTACATAACATATATATAGATACATGAATATTCTCTGTCTTTTTGGTGCTAGTTACACTGAAAGATTCCGTTTTGAAAATCCAGCAAACTGTACATTCATGAGTTATTTAGATTTCTGCATGTACTTTACATAATTGATAAAAAATGTAAAAATAAAGCATTAGTCTTTAATTGAAATATGTAACCAACCTGATGAAACACACCTCTATTGTGTCATCTTCACTGATTCCACAGCCTTCTTTCATTTCCAAATCAACAAACATTTTCTTGGAGAGAAAATGGTAAAGTAATTGTTCCAACAACTGCATAGATAGTAAGTATTTGTTAGACTGGAGACCCAGAGTGGAAGTTAATCCCTGGTGAGGGAAATAGGCTGCTTCCCTGTTAAATTCTTTTCATCTGTTCGTTTCAGTCATCCTAAAAGTTTAGCACATTTTTCTATTATGTTAACACATTGTGTACTGAATAGACAGACCAAAAGCATCTTGAATATACTTTAAAAATTTTTTGCTTAAGTAACCTCACAAGACTCCCACATTCTTTCGTTTTGCCTGCATTGAGAATCAGCAGTTACTTTTAAGTTTTAATAAGTTTCACATGTTTTGTAGTGAAACTGTGTTTGGTTAATTCCAGCCTTTAATTAGTAGCCTCTGGATTGGTGTATACCAGACACGGGGATGTTATTAGTGCGAACTGAAAGTTATGTGTGTTACTCCGTAACAGATCAAAACAAACCTTGTGCGCTCTGACAGCATTAAACCCCACTGAGACCTGACCAGGATATGGTTTTCAGTTGTAAAAGAAAATTGTAATTCACAAGTCCTTGCCAGATGTTGTACCCTGATACCTCAAATTCATTGCACTTACCCAGAGTAGGTGGTCATTTGGGGTTCAGCCAAGGGAAGGACATGGTTTAGTTTTTTTTCCAATCATTTAAAAATGAGATTCTTTTAAAGTATTGTATCTTGGTTTTTGAACATTTAAACTTTTGGTAAAATGAAAGATGGTGAACTTGGGAGGATGCAAGACACACCTTTGAAATCCTCACATCTTGTGTAAATTTTTTGTACAATGTTAAGAAGAAAATTCGCATCTGCAAAATGTAAAAAGATGCTAGGATTCAATAACTGGACAGGAGCAGATTTGAATGATAACACAGACAAAGGAGATGGTATCTGTTTTAATAAGCAAACAGAGAATTTTAAGATTGTTCTCATTGACCAGTCCATATCATGTTATGGATGCTACCAAGTGTAAAATTACAAAAACAAAACAATAACAAAAACAAACAAAAAAAAGCTTGACTGGACTGATGAAAGAAAAAGCTCTAATGTATTTTTAGAAACCAGTTTGATTGGCAGTAACCTCTAGAGTGTTGAAAGATATTAGATAAAGTTCAAATACTAATGTACCTGGTATATTTACAAGTGGTTCGTGTGGTTATACGAGGACAAGATTCTACACAACTTGGAGTTTAACACACAACTGTGAACTTCTGGACTTCTAGGCAATTTACATATTCACTCCCCCCACCACGCCTCAATTATTCTGTTACATGATTTTAGTAAAACACATATTTTGTACCTTACATTTTTAATATCCTTTCTTAAACTATAGATTTGCAAATGTTTTTCTTTGGTTAGACAATTGGCCTTATTCTAATGCTTATTTCAGTACAACCTCAATATAATTTTACGGTAATATATAATGCAGATGGTAGGATATAGTAGTAGCTTTCACCCTACAGGCAAATCATATTTTATCTGGCTATAACTATAAAAAGTGATTCCTAAGGGATTGGTGTAGCAAGACTTTTCCCCCCAA